AATTCTGGGTTTTAAATTTTTTTAAAAAAAATTTGTAATTTTTTCATTCCCCAAAAAAAGGAAAAAATTTTTTTTAAATCAAATTTAAAATTAAAGAAATAAAACCGTTTTATACTTTTAAATAAAGATCCTTCCAGAGGCACCGACGAGATTCGAACTTCGTGATCTCCTGTTTACTAGACAGGCGCTTTAACCAACTGAGCCACGGCGCCGGCGAAATAAATCTATGTTTGAATCTGCTGAATGAAGAGAATTGCTCCGGAAGATAATTCAAAACAAGGATTCCGTAATTTTGTTGAAAAAATATCGTCAATTGTTGCGAATTGCACGAATACATTGGAAACAAAGTGGTTTTAAATACATTGGCATGATCAAAAGAACGACGACCAATTCTTATCACTTTTAAAAGTAAAGATCCTTCCATAGGCACCGACGAGATTCGAACTCGTGATCTCCTGTTTACTAGACAGGCGCTTTAACCAACTGAGCCACGGCGCCGGCGAAATAAATCTATGTTATGAAACTGCTGAATGAAGAGAATTGCTCCGAAGATAATTCAAAACAAGGGGTTCTGTAAATTTTTTGAAAAAAATCGAATTTTTTGCCCAATTCCACGAATAGCATAGGAAACAAAGTGGTTTTAAATACATTGGCATAAACAAAGAAAACGACCGATTCTATCACTTTCACAAAGTAAGATCCTTCCAGGGCACCGACGAGATTCGAACTCGTGATCTCCTGTTTACTAGACGGCGCTTTTTAAACCCAAATGAGCCACGCGCCGGCGAAATAAATCATGTTTGAATCTGCTGAATGAAGGAAATTTCTCCGGGAAAATAATTCAAAACAAGGATTTTGTAATTTTGTTGAAAAAATATCGTCAATTGTTGCGAAGTGCACGAATAGCATTGGAAACAAAGTGGTTTTAAATACATTGGCATGATCAAAAAAACGACGACCGCTTCGTATCATTTTTTAAAGTAAAGATCCTTCCATAGGCACCGACGAGATTCGAACTCGTGATCTCCTGTTTACTAGACAGGCGCTTTAACCAACTGAGCCACGGCGCCCGAGAAATAAATCTATGTTATGAATCCTAAAAGAAAGAATTCACCGAAGATAATTCAAAACAAGGATTCGTAAATTTTTTAAAAAATATGTAAGTTGAATTTCAGAATACTAAAAAAAAGTGGTTTTAAATACATTGCATGGTCAAAAGAACGACGCCGCTCGTATCACTTTTAAAAATAAAATCCTTCCAGAGGCACCGACGAGACGAACTCGTGATCTCCTGTTTACTAGCGGCCTTTAACCACTAGCCCGGCGCCGGGAAAAAAAATTATTTTGAACTGTAATAAAGAATTCGAAAATAATTCAAAAAAAGGTTTAATTTTTGAAAAAAAATTTGTAATTTTTGCGATTTCCGAAAAGGGAAAAAATGGGTTTTTAAAAACATTGGATATAAAAGAAAGAAACCCCTTCATACTTTTAAAAAAGTCCCTTTCCCGAAGCACCGACGAGATTCGAACTCGTGATCTCCTGTTTTTAGACAGGCGCTTTAACCAACTGAGCCACGGCGCCAGCGAAATAAATCTCTGTCCATGAATCTGCTGAATGAAGAGAATTGCTCCGAAGATTATTCAAAACAAGGATTCTGTAATTTTGTTTTAAAAATATCGTAATTTGATAGGAATTGCATGAATAGCATTGGAAAGAAAGTGGTTTTAAATACATTGGCATGATCAAAAGAACGACGACCGCATCGTATCACTTTTAAAGTAAAAACTGCTTCCAGAGGCACCGACGGAGATTCAGACTCGTGATCTCCTGTTTACTAGACAGGCGCTTTAACCAACTGAGCCACGGCGCCGGCGAGCAAATCTATTTTATGAATCTGCTGAATGAAGAGAATTGCACCGAAGATAATTCAAAACAAGGATTCCGTAATTTTGTTAAAAAAATATCTTTAATTGTTGCGAATTGCACGAATAGCATTGGAAACAAATTGGTTTTAAATACATTCGCATGATCAAAGAACGACGACCGCTTCGTATCACTTTTAAAAGTAAAGATCCTTCCAGAGGCACCGACGAGATTCGAACTCGTGATCTCCTGTTTACTAGACAGGCGCTTTAACCAACTAAGCCACGGCGCCTGCGAAATATATGGATGTTGTGAATATGATAAATAAAGAGAATTACTCCTAAAATAATTCAAATGAAGGATTTTGAAATTTTCTTGGAAAAATGTCGTAAGTTGTTGCGTATTGCCGGAAAAGCAATGGAAATAAATTTGTTTTAAATATAAAATTACATAATTAAACGAACAACGAACTGCTTCGTGTATCACTTTTAAAGTAAAAGATCCTTCCATGGGCACCGAAGAGATTTGAACTCGTGATCTCCTGATTACTGAACGGGCGCTTTAACCAACTAAGCCACGGCGCCGGCAGCTTCGTGGATATTTGTGAAGCTGATAAATAAAGAGAATTATTCCGAAAATAATTCAAATGAAGGTTTTTGAAATTTTCTCGAAAATGTCGTAAGTTGTTGCGTATTGCTCGAAAAACAATGGAAATAAATTTGTTTTAAATACAATTGTATAATTAAATGAACGATATAAATCCCGCTTCGTATTACTTTTACAAATAAAGATCCTTCCATAGGCACCGACGAGATTCGAACTCGTGATCTCCTGTTTACTAGACAGGCGCTTTAACCAACTTGAGCCACGGCGCCGGCGAAATAGGTTTCACATGTTATGAATCTCTGCTGAATGAAGAGTAATGCACCGAAGTTAATTCAAACCAGGATTCCCGTAATTTTTGTTAAGAAAAATATCGTCAATTGTTGCGAATTGCACGAATAGCGTGGAAACAGTGGTTTTAAATACATTGGCATGATCAAAGAACGACGACCGCTTCGTATCACTTTTAAAAGTAAAGATCCTTCCAGAGGCACGACGAGATTCGAACTCGTGATCTCCTGTTTACCAGACGGGCGCATTAATAGCGAGCCACGGCAACGGCGAGATAATTCTATATGTTATGAATCTGCTGAATAAAGAGAATTGCTCCGAAGATAATTTAAAACAAGGATTCTGTAATTTTGTTGAAAAAATATCGTCAATTGTTGCGAATTGCACGAATAGCATTGGAAACAAAGTGGTTTTTAAATACATTGGCATGATCAAAGAACGACGACAACTTCGGTATAACTTTTTAAAAGTAAAGATCCTTCCATGGGCACCGACGAGATTCGAACTCGTGATCTCCTGTTTACTAGACAGGCGCTTTAACCAACTGAGCCAAGGCGCCGACGAAATATATGGATGTTGTAAATCTGATAAATAAAGGGAATTACTCCGAAAATAATTAAATGAAGGATTTTAAAATTTTCTGGAAATACGTCGTAAGTTGTTGCGTATTGCCGGAAAAGCAATGGAAATTAATTTGTTTTAAATACAATTGTATAATCAAACGAACGACGACCGCTTCGTATCACTTTTAAAATTAAAGATCCTTCCAAAGGCACCGACGAGATTCGAACTCGTGATCTCCTGTTTACTAGACAGACGCATTAACCAACTGAGCCACGGCGCCGGCGAAATAAATATATGTTATGAATCTGCTGAATGAGAATTGCTCAGATAATTCAAAACAAAAGGATTCTGTAATTCTGTTGAAAAATATCGTAGGTATTTGCGAATTGCACGAGAATAGCATTGGAAACAAAGTGGTTTTAAATGGTGGCGATCAAAGAACGTCGACCGCAACGTATCACCTTTAAAAGTAAAGATCCTTCCAGAGGCACCGACGAGATTCGAACTCGTGATCTCCTGTTTACTAGACAGGCGCTTTAACCAACTAAGCCACGTCGCCTGCGAAATATATGGATGTTGTGAAGCTGATAAATACAGAGAAATACTCCGAAAATAATTCAAATGAAGGATTTTGAAATTCTTTGGAAGAAATGTAAATTGTTGCGTATTGCCCGAAAAGCAATGGAAATAAAGTTGTTTTAAATACAATTGTATAATCAAACGAACGACGACCGCTTCGTATCACTTTTAAAATTAAAGATCCTTCCAGAGGCACCGACGAGATTCGAACTCGTGATCTCCTGTTTACTAGACAGGCGCTTTAACCAACTGAGCCACGGCGCCGGCGAAATACATCTATGTTATGAATCTGCTGAATGAAGAGAATTGCTCCGATGATGGTACCTAAAACAAGGATTCTGTAATTTTTGTTAAGAATTTATCGTCAGGGTATTTGCGAATTCCACGAATAGCATTGGAAACAAAGTGGTTTTAAATACATTGGCATGATCAAAAGAACGACGACCGCTTCGTATCGCGAAGTAAAGATCCTTCAGAGGCACCGACGAGATTCGAACTCGTGATCTCCTGTTTACTAGACAGGCGCTTTAACCAACTGAGCCACGGCGCCAGCGAAATAAATCTCTGTTACGAATCTGCTGAATGAAGAGAATTGCTCCGAAGATTATTCAAAACAAGGATTCTGTAATTTTGTTTTAAAAATGTCGTAATTTGATAGGAATTGCATGAATAGCATTGGAAACAAAGTGGTTTTAAATACATTGGCATGATCAAAAGAACGATGACCGCATCGTATCACTTTTAAAAGTAAAGCTCCTTCCAGAGGCACCGACGAGATTCGAACTCGTGATCTCCTGTTTACTAGACAGGCGCTTTAACCAACTGAGCCACGGCGCCGGCGAAATAAATCTATTTTATGAATCTGCTGAATGAAGAGAATTGCACCGAAGATAATTCAAAACAAGGATTCCGTAATTTTGTTAAAAAAATATCGTAATTTGATAGGAATTGCACGAATAGCATTGGAAACAAATTGGTTTTAAATACATTCGCATGATCAAAAGAATGACGACCGCTTCGTATCGCACCCAAAAGTAAAGATCCTTTCAGAGGCACCGACGAGATTCGAACTCGTGATCTCCTGTTTACTAGACAGGCGCTTTAACCAACTAAGCCACGGCGCCTGCGAAATATATGGATGTTGTGATTACGATAAATAAAGAGAATTACTCCTAAAATAATTCAAATGAAGGATTTTGAAATTTTCTTGGAAAAATGTCGTAAGTTGTTGCGTATTGCCAGAAAAGCAAAGGAAATAAATTTTTTTTAAATAAAATTACATAATTAAACGAATAACGACCGCTTCGTATCACTTTTAAAAGTAAAGATCCTTCCATGGGCACCGACGAGATTTGAACTCGTGATCTCCTGATTACTAGACGGAAAACCAACTAAGCCGGCGCCGGCAAAATGCATGGATGTTGTAGGAAGCTGATAAATAAAGAGAATTATTCCGAAAATAATTCAAATGAAGGTTTTGGAAATTTTCTCGAAAAATGTCGTAAGTTGTTGCGTATTGCTCGAAAAACAATGGAAATAAATTTGTTTTAAATACAACTGTATCATTAAATGAACGATATAAATCCCGCTTCGTATTACTTTTACAAATAAAGATCCTTCCAGAGGCACCGACGAGATTCGAACTCGTGATCTCCTGTTTACTAGACAGGCGCTTTAACCAACTGAGCCACGGCGCCGGCGAAATAATTCTATGTTATGAATCTGCTGAATGAAGAGTAATGCACCGAAGTTAATTCAAAACAAGGATTCCGTAATTTTGTTAAAAAAATATCGTCAATTGTTGCGAATTGCACGAATAGCATTGGAAACAAAGTGGTTTTAAATACATTGGCATGATCAAAACGACGACCGCTTCGTATCACTTTTTAAAGTAAAAGATCCCTTCCAGAGGCACCGACGACGAGATTCGAACTCGTGATCTCCTGTTTACTAGACAGGCGCATTAACCAACTGAGCCACGGCAACGGCAGAAAGATAAATCTATGTTATGAATCTGCTGCTGAATAAAAGAGAATTGCTCCGAAGATAATTCAAACAAAAGGATTCTGTAATTTTGTTGAAAAATATCGTCAATTGTTGCGAATTGCACAATAACATTAGGCTGAGTGGTTTAAATACAGCATGATCAAAAGAACGACGACCGCATCGTATCACTTTTAAAGTAAAGATCCTTCCAGAGGCACCGACGAGATTCGAACCCGTGATCTCCTGTTTACTAGACAGGCGCTTAAACCAAGTAAGCAGCGTCGCTTGCGAAATATATGGATGTTGTGAAGCTGATAAATACAGAGAAATACTCCGAAAATAATTCAAATGAAGGATTTTGAAATTCTTTGGAAGAAATGTAAATTGTTGCGTATTGCCCGAAAAGCAATGGAAATAAAGACATTTTAAATACAATTGTATAATCAAACGAAGACAACCGCCGCTATCACTTTTAAAAGTAAAGATCCTTCCAGAAGAACCGACGAGATTCGAACTCGTGATCTCCTGTTTACTAGACAGGCGCTTTAACCAAACTGAGCAAGGCTCCGGCTTGAAATAAATCTATGTTACAGATCATAACAGATGAAGAGAATTGCTCGAAGATAATGAATTCAAAACAAGGTTTCTGTAATTTTGTTGAAAAAAATATCGTAGGGTATTTGCGTATTGCCCGAAAAGCAATGGAAATATTGTTTTAAATACATTGGCATGATCAAGACGACGACCGCTTTCGTATCACTTTTACAAGTAGGAACTCCTTCCAGAGCTTACGACGAGATTCGAACTCGTGATCTCCTGTTTACTAGACGAGGCGCTTTAACCAACTGAGCCACGGCGCCGGCGAAATAAATCTATGTTATGAATCTGCTAAATGAATAGGAGATTGCACCGAAGGTGAATTCAAAACAAGTTCTGTAATTCTGTTGAAAAATATCGTAAATTGCACGAATAGCATTGGAAACAAAGTGGTTTTAAATACATTGGCATGATCAAAAGAACGACGACCGCATCGTATCATTTTTAAAAGTAGTCCTTTCAGAGGCACCGACGAGATTTGACTCGTGATCTCCTGTTTACTAGACAGGCGCTTCAACCAACTGAGCCACGGCGCCGAGCGAAACAGTATGTTATGAATCTGCTAAATTAAGAGAATTGCTCCGAAGATATTTCAAAACAAGGTTTAAGTAATTTTGTTGAAAAAATATCGTAAATTGTTGCGTATTGCCCGAAAAGCAATGGAAATAAAGTTATTTTAAATACAATTGTACAATCAATCGAACGACGACCGCTTCGTATCACTTTTAAAAATAAAGATCCTTCCATAGGCACCGACGAGAGACAAACTCATGATCTAATGTTTACTAGACAGACGCTTTAACCAACTAAGCCACGGCGCCTGCGGAATTCATGGATGTTGTGAAGCTGATAAATAAAGAGAATTATTCCGAAAATATAGTTCAAATGAAGGTGTTTGAAATTTTTCTCGAAAAATGTCGTAAGAAGTTGTTGCGTAGTAACCGAAAAACAATGGAAATAAATTTGTTTTAAATACAATTGTATAATTAAATGAATGATATAAAACCCGCTTCGTATTACTTTTTACAAATAAGATCATTCCGCTTAGGCACCGACGAGATTCGAACTCGTGATCTCCTGTTTACTAGACAGGCGCTTTAACCAACTGAGCCACGGCGCCGGCGAAATAAATCTATGTTATGATCTGCTGAATGAAGAGAATTTGCTCCGGGATTAATTCAAAACAAAGGATTCTGTAATTTTGTTGAAAAAAATATCGTCAATTGTTGCGAATTGCACGAATAGCATTGGAAACAAAGTGGTTTTAAATACATTGGCATGATTAAAAGAACGACGACCGCTTCGTATCACTTTTAAAAGTAAAGATCCTTCCAGAGGCAACGACGAGATTTGAAGTCGTGATCTCCTGTTTACTAGACAGGCGCTATAACTAACTAAGCCACGGCGTCCGCGACATATATGGATGTTGTGAATCTGATAAATAAAGAGAATTACTCCGAAAATAATTAAATGAAGGATTTTAAAATTTTCTGGAAATATGTCGTAAGTTGTTACGTATTGCCGGAAAAGCAATGGAAATTAATTTGTTTTAAATACAATTGTATAATCAAACGAACGACTGACGCTTCATTATCACTTTTAAAAATTAAAGATCCTTGCAAAGGCACCGACGAATTCGAACTCGTGATCTCCTGTTTACTAGACGAACATTAACCAACGCTGAGCCACGGCGCCGGCAGAAATAAATATATGTTATGAATCTGCTGAATGAGAAATTGCTCCGAAAGATAATTCAAAACAAGGATTCTGTAATTCTGTTGAAAAATATATCGTAAATTGTTTGAATTGCTACGAATAGCATTGGAAACAAATTGATTTTTAATACATAGGCATGATCAAAGAACGACGACCGCATCGTATCACTTTTAAAGTAAAGATCCTTCAGAGGCACCGACGAGATTCGAACCCGTGATCCTGTTTAGTAAACGGGCGCTGGCGGCTAAAACGGCAGTAAACCATGGATGTGGAGGCTGACAATGCAGAAGCACTTAGAAATAATTCAAATAGAAGGATTTAAGGAAATATAAATTGTTGTAACAATGGAAGTTGTTTCCATGACGAAAACCGACAATATTTGATTCCATTCGACGTTCTTCAGTGGGGCCGGTCTGGAAGTTCAGGAAACGAGGGTTTCTGTAATTTTGTTGAAAAAAATATCGTAAATTGTTGCGTATTGCCGAAAACAATGGAAATATTGTTTTTAAATACATTGGCATGATCAAAGAACGACGACCGCTTCGTATCGCACTTTTACAAGTAAAGATCCTTTGCACCGACGAGATTCGAACTCGTGATCTCCTGTTTACTAGACAGGCGCTTTAACCAACTGAGCCACGGCGCCGGCGAAATAAATCTATGTTATGAATCTGCTAAATGAATAGAATTGCACCGAAGATAATTCAAAACAAGGATTCTGTAATTCTGTTGAAAAAATATCGTAAATTGCACGAATTGCATTGGAAACAAAGTGGTTTTAAGCCATTGGAAGGATCAAAGAACGACGACCGCATCGTATCATTTTTAAGTAAGATCGCGCAGAGGCACCGACGCGAGATTCGAACTCGTGATCTCCTGTTTACTGAACCAGGCGCTTCCAGCCAACTGAGCCACGGCGCCGGCGAAATAAATCTATGTTATGAGATCTGCTAGAATTAAGAGGATTGCTCGAAGATATTTCAAAAACAAGGTTTAAGTAATTTTGTTGAAAAATATCGTAAATTGTTGCGTATTGCCCGAAAAGCAATGGAAATAAAGTTATTTTAAATACAATTGTACAATCAATCGAACGACGACCGCTTCGTATCACTTTTAAAATTAAAGATCCTTCCATAGGCACCGACGAGATTCGAACTCGTGATCTCCTGTTTACTAGACAGGCGCTTTAACCAACTAAGCCACGGCGCCGGCGAAATACATGGATGTTGTGAAGCTGATAAATAAAGAGAATTATTCCGAAAATAATTCAAATGAAGGTTTTTGAAATTTTCTCGAAAAAATGTCGTAAGTTGTTGCGTATTGCTCGAAAAACAATGGAAATAAATTTGTTTTAAATACAACTGTATCATTAAATGAACGATATAAATCCCGCTTCGTATTACTTTACCAATAGATCCTTCCAGAGGCACCGACGAGATTCGAACTCGTGATCTCCTGTTTACTAGACAGGCGCTTTAACCAACTGAGCCACGGCGCCGGCGAAATAGTTCTATGTTATGAATCTGCTGAATGAAGAGTAATGCACCGAAGTTAATTCAAACCAGGATTCCGTAATTTTGTTAAAAAATATCGTCAATTGTTGCGAATTGCACGAATAGCAGTGGAAACAAAGTGGTTTTAAATACATTGGCATGATCAAAAGAACGACGACCGCTTCGTATCACTTTTTAAAGTAAAGATCCTTCCAGAGGCACCGACGAGATTCGAACTCGTGATCTCCTGTTTACTGAACAGGCGCATTAGCCAACTGAGCCACGGCAGCGGCAGGAAAATAAATCTATGTTATGAGATCTGCTGAATAAAGGAATTGCTCCGAAGATAATTCAAAACAAGGATTCTGTAATTTTTATTGAAAAATATCGTCAATTGTTGCGAATTGCACGAATAGCATTGGAAACAAAAGAGTGGTTTTAAAACACATTGGCATGATCAAAAGAACGACGACCGCCGTATATAAATTTTAAAAAGTAAAGATCTTTCCAGAGGCACCGACGAGATTCGAACTCGTGACACTCCCTGTTTACACTAGACAGGCACTTTTAACCAACTGAGCCACGGCGCCGGCGAAATAATTCTATGTTATGAATCTGCTGAATGAAGAGAATTGCTCCGAGGTAATTCAAAACAAGGATTTTGTAATTTTGTTGAAAAAATATCGTAAATTGTTGCGGTGCACGGATACATTGGAATAAAAAAGTGGTTTTAAATACATTGGCATGATTAAAGAACGACCACAAATTCTTATCACTTTTAAAAGTAAAGATTCTTTCAGAAGCACCGACGAGATTTTGAACTCGTGATCTTCGGTTTACTAGGCAGGCGCTTTAACCAACTAAGCCACGGCGCCTGCGAAATGTATGCATGTTGTGAATATAATAAATAAAGAAAATTTCTCCTAAAATAATTCAAATGAAGGATTTTGAAATTTTCTTTTGAAAAATGTCGTTATTTGTTGCGTATTGCCGGAAAAGCAATGGAAATAAATTTGTTTTAAACAAAATTGCATAATTAAACGAACGACGACCGCTTTGTATCACTTTTAAAAGTAAAGAACCTTTCAGAGGCACCGACGAGATTTGAACTTGTGATGTCCTGTTTGCTATACAGGCGCTTTAACCAACTGAGCCACAGCGACGGCGAAATAAATCTATGTTATGAATCTGCTAAATGAAGAGAATTGCTCCGAAGATAATTCAAAACAAGGTTTCTGTAATTTTGTTGAAAAAATATCGTAAACTGTTGCGTATTGCCCGAAAAGCAATGGAAATAAAGTTGTTTTAAATACAATTGTAAAATCAGAGCGAATGATAACATAGGGCAGCAAACGCACCTTGGTTTGTCAGGAACGAAGTCTTGCATAAAGATCTTAGTGTTCCACCGCTGTGATTTCGTCAAAAACAATCAGAAAATTTCTTCAACCGCCTCCACAGATTTCGTGAATCTATCAGGGTACTCCCCGGCTTACGACAATTCTATTCACAAGCTCTTCTAGAGACCTACAGAGCGATCTTAATCACTCGTATCAACACTTCCCCAGCTCTGTAAAAGGATTAAGGGAAATAATGCTTGATATGAATTAAAAATATGAGCTTTATTGTTACACTAGTAGGCTTGCACCGAAGACTTCATTCACTATAATTATTCCCCTCCCCGCGCCATGGAAGTTTTTATCGCGTTTTTGTGGGGAGGCAACTTCACCCCTCATGATCTTATTTCAAACTCACTCTACCTTTTCTTACTTTTTTCTTCCAAGTGGTTATTTAAAACTTCCTTTCAATAACCGCACACCCAGTTATCTTAGAGGTAACGTGTCACGGACTTAAAATATTATTCTCTTAATCTATTTATTAAAAAATATGTTCCTTCTCCTCGTTCCATCAGATGCGGCAGACGGTTGAATGGGCGGGCTTTGCTGTCATGGAGTCTTGGCGTAATTTTCTCTTCGTTTCCTATGAGAAGCAGAAACTGAAACTAAATCAACTGGGAGAGTCGTTTCCACCCACCCTCCACCAGCGTTATTGTGCTGCATTTAATGTGGACTGCTTTTAATTTTATATGTAACTTTAACAAATTGTTCTCCTGTCCAATTTATTATGATGAGTGGATAATAGAGCTATCTCTAAGGTTCCACGTAAATGTATATATAACCATTACCGTTACCGAACGATAACACACTTCTTATCACTTTTAAAAATAAAGATCCTGCCATAGGCACCGACAAACCGCTTTAACCAACTAAGCTACAGCACCAAGCGAAATAAAATCTGTTATGAATCTGCTAAATCAGAGAATTGCTCGAAGATGAGAAAATTCAAAGGCAGGGATTTATAGCAATTTTGTTGAAAAACAACCGTAAATTGTTGCGTATTGCTTAGAAGCAATGGAAATAAAGTTATTTTAAATACAATTGTACAATCAATCGAACGACTGACCGCTTCGTATCACTTTAAAAATAAAAGATCCTTCCATAGAAACTTGACGAGATTCAAACTCGTGATCTCATGTTTACTAGACAGGCGCTTTAACCAACTAAGCCACGGCGCCTGCGAAATATATGGATGTTGTCAAGCTCATAAATACTGAGAATTACTCCCAAAAAATAATTGAAATGAAGATTTTGAAAATTTTCTGGAAAAATGTCGTAAATTGTTGCGTATTGCCCGAAAAGCAATGGAAATAAAGTTGTTTTAAATACAATTGTATAATCAAACGAACGACGACCGCTTCGCGTATCACTTTTAAAAGTAAAGATCCTTCCAGCGCAGGCGATTCGAAATCGTGATCTCACTGTTTTATTGACAGGCTTTAACCAACTGAGGCCGGCGCCGGCGAAATAAATCTATGTTATGAATCTGCTGAATGAAGAGAATTGCACCGAAGATAATTCAAAACAAGGATTCCGTAATTTTGTTGAAAAAATATCGTCAATTGTTGCGAATTGCACGAATAGCATTGGAAACAAAGTGGTTTTAAATACATTGGCATGATCAAAAGAACGACGACCGCTTCGTATCACTTTTAAAAGTAAAGATCCTTCCAGAGGCACCAAGGCGAAGTTCAGCTCGTGATCTCCTGTTTACTAGACAGGCGCTATAACCTAACTAAGCCACGGCGCCCGCGACATATATGGATGTTGTGAATCTGATAAATAAAGAGAATTACTCCGAAAATAATTAAATGAAGGATTTTGAAATTTTCTGGAAAAAATGTCGTAAGTTGTTGCGTATTACTTGAAAAGAAACGATGGGGAAATAAATTTGTTTTAAATAAAACGGCATAATTAAACGAACAACGACCGCTTCGTATCACTTTTAAAAGTAAAGAACCCTTCAGAGGCACGGACGAGATTCAGAGCTCGTGATACCGGTTTAGACGAGGCGCTTTAACCAACTAAGCCGTGGCGCCTTCGTAATATATGGGTGTTGTGAATATGATAAATAAAGAGAATTACTCCTAAAAGAATTCAAATGATGGATTTTGAATTTTTCTTGGAAAAATGTCGTAAGTTGTTGCGTATTGCCGGAAAAGCAATTGAAATAATTTTGTTTTAAATAAAATTGCATAATTAAACGAACGGCGACCGCTTCGTATCACTTTTAAAAGTAAAGAACCTTTCAGAGGCACCGACGAGATTCGAACTCGTGATCTTCCGTTTACTATACAGGCACAACCAACTAAGCCACGGTGCCGGCGGAATAAATCTATGTTATGAATCTGCTAAATGAAGACAATTGCTCGAAGATAATTCAAAACAAAAGGATTCTGTAATTTTTGTTGAAAAAATATCATGAATTGATTTGCGAAGATTACTGCGAATAGCATTGGAAACAAAAGTGGTTTTAAATACATTGGCATGATCAAAAGAACGACGACCGCCTCGTATCACTTTTAAAAGTAAAGATCCTTCCAGAGGCACCGGCGAGATTCGAACTCGTGATCTCCTGCTTACTAGACAGGCGCTTTAACCAACTAAGCCACAGAGCCTGCAAAATACATGGATGTTGTGAGAAGCTAAAATAAAAGAATTATTCGAAAACAAAAATCAAATGAAGGTTTTGAAATTTTCTCGAAAAAATGTCGTAAGTTGTTGCGTATTGCTCGAAAAACAATGGAAATAAATTTGTTTTAAATACAATTGTATAATTAAATGAACGATATATAAAACCCGCTTCGTATTACTTTTACAAATAAAGATCCTTCCATAGGCACCGACGAGATTCGAACTCGTGATCTCCTGTTTACTAGACAGGCGCTTTAACCAACTGAGCCACGGCGCCGGCGAAAGAAATCTATGTTATGAATCTGCTGAATGAAGAGGATTGCACTGAAGATAATTCAAAACAAGGATTCCATAATTTTGTTAAAAAAATATCTTCAATTGTTGCGAATTGCACGAAAAGCAATGGAAATAAATTAGTTTTAAGTATACTATTGTATAATCAAACGGAAGCGACGTTCTCTTTCTAAAATTAAAGAACAATCCAGAGGCACCGACGAGATTCGAACTCGTGATCACCTGTTTACTAGACACGCACTTTAACCAAATGAGCCACGGTACTGCCGAATCAGTCTATGTTATGAATCTGATAAATGAAGAGAATTGCTCCGATGCTAATTCAAAAGTAGGATTCTGAAATTTTGTTGAAAAAAAATAGTAAGTTGTTGCGTATTGCCCAAAAAGCAATAGAAACAAATTTGTTTAAAATGCAATTGCATAATCAAACGAACGACGACCGCTTCGTATCACTTTTAAAAGTAAACATCCTTCCAGAGGCACCGACGAGATTCGAACTCGTGATCTCCTGTTTACTAGACATGCGCTTTGTGCTCGCTTTGAGCCACGGCGTCGGCGGAAATAAAATCTATGCTTTGAATCTGCTGAATGAAGAGAATTGCTTCGAGATAATTCAAAACAAAAGGATTTTGTAATTTAGTTGAAAAATATCGTCAATTGTTGCGAAGATTGCACGAATAGCGTGGAAACAAAGTGGTTTTAAAATACATTGGCATGATCAAAGAACGACACTGACCGCTTCGTATCACTTTTAAAGTAAAGATCAGCACAGGCACCGACGAGATTCGACTTGAGATCTCCTGTTTACTAGACGAGGCGCTTTAACCAACTGTGATGTGGATGACACACAGGCTGACACCCCCCTCTCTAACTACCACACCACACCAACGGGGGACGTTCGACTCTCGACAGATTTAACTTGCATCGCTGCCCTACACGGCGGGTCTTTATTGGTATTGGATTTGAACTCGTGACAATGCCAGCCACGGTCTATACCTGCCACCACTCGGCTATCGCATCCCGCTTATGAGCAAACGAACCACGATGATTCAGTATCACCTTACAAAATTAAAACTCTTTAGTGAGTCATCGATGAGATACGAACTCGCAATTTTTTTTTACTAGTCAGGTTGTGACGGCTCACGCGTCCTTTCTGTAACATAACCTCTATGGTTCTTTGACGGCCAAGATTAATGGCAAATCTTTTCCAACCTAAAATCCAAAATTGAAATGAAATATAGATGCAAATAAGATAGCTTTTAAAAGGACAGAAGTTTTAGTAAGCGGATGGCAATTTAGAAAGTTCTGTTAGGAAAAGGTAGAAGTGTAATTTGACGGCTTATCAAGGAATCCTGGATATCCTAGCCATTACCTACAAGGTGCACGCATACTATTGCACGCGAGCCCAACAGCCTATCTGAAGGTGTTTGAACCGATGCGTGGAATTCAAGGTAGGAAGATTATTTTGAATTCGTAATATTATTAGGATTGAGAGTAGGCGGATAATATAATTATTTAGATAAATGAATCCAATTGCGCGATCTGTTTTAGTTACGGCTAAGTGTTTTTGGTTTTATTCTCACTTTAATACTAAGTTTGATCAATATATAAGTAATTTAAGTTAAACTCTTAATAAAGTCATATTAAGAATTCTAAAATGTCTCTTCATTTCGAGGAATTCACACCTCTATATTCCGTTTCACCTTAAGTTGCTTGTACTGGGAAGGGTACATGGACAAATCACAGCCACTACAGGGGTTACTCTGGGAGAAAGTGTGACTATAACAAATAAAATTCTCCATATTTGGCGAGCAAAAATTACTCTTGAAAAATTTGTTCATTAAAAATTGTATGATTTTTTTTTTTTTTGATAATAGTATAGCCCCTTCTTTAATCAGGAAATATTTAAGGTTTATGCTTCAACTATGTTTAAAAATATTGATTAATTAACTAGCAAAACTTTCTCGAATAAAATCTCAATAGTTCCCAAGATGTTGGTGCATTTTTTAAATGAAAAATACGGTTAAATTGTAATTCACATGCTATCATTACATTGATTTTTTAAGAAGTGACTTATATGCTATTTTCAAAATAAACAGCTCCTTATATCTTTAGTTTCATAATTTCATTTATTACATTTTGTTTATAAAATAAAAATTTCTATAACTGGTTTTATAAATAATAATTAAATCATCTGTTTCCATTATTATTACTGTTTTAAATCAGTTTGCATAATTATTATTCATATTACATGTAAGAAATGCCGTTTATGTACGTTAACTAAGATATACAGAAGTACATATATGCAAATTTGGGGATTAATTTCAAAATTTATCAATATTAAAACTTATAATCTTTTATAAAAATTTATAGTTTATCTGGGAAAAAAATATCTCGATGCATACTTTAAAGTATGTTACTAACATTGCTTAATACTTAAAAGTTTATATATTCAGCTCAATAAGTATAACTTTAAAAGAAAAAAAAAGATTTATTATAATAATTTAATACAGAAATTATATATTTTGATATTTAGAACTGTTTTTGTTGTAAAAATGTTTAAAATTTAAAAAACAACAAAATTAAGATAGCGCACGAGATGTTAAAATATCATCGGTGTACTTCGTTCAGTTACGTATTGCTTGGCATGATCAAAGAACGACGACCGCATCGTATCACTTTTAAAAGTAAAGATCCTTCCAGAGGCACCGACGAGATTCGAACTCGTGATCTCCTGTTTACTAGACAGGCGCTTTAACCCACTAAGCCACGTCGCTTGCGAAATATATGGATGTTGTGAAGCTGATAAATACAGAGAAATACTCCGAAAATAATTCAAATGAAGGATTTTGAAATTTTCTGGAAAAAATGTCGTAAATTGTTGCGTATTGCCCGAAAAGCAATGGAAATAAAGTTGTTTTAAATACAATTGTATAATCAAACGAACGACGACCGCTTCGCGTATCACTTTTAAAAGTAAAGATCCTTCAAGGGCACCGACGAGATTCGAAATCGTGATCTCCTGTTTATTAGACAGGCGCTTTAACCAACTGAGCCACGGCGCTGGCGAAATAAATCTATGATATGAATCTGCTGAATGAAGAGAATTGCACCGAAGATAATTCAAAACTAGGATTCTGTATAATTTTTATGAAAAAATATCGTAATTTGTTGCGAATTGCACGAATATAGCATAGGAAACAGAGTGGTTTTAAATACATTGGCATGATCAAAAGAACGACGACCGCATCGTATCACTTTTATAAGTAAAGATCGCTAAATTGCCAGAGCGAGATTTGAAACTCGTGATTTTCTGTTTACTAGACAGGCGCTTTAACCAACTGAGCCCACGTCGCCGGCAAATAAATATATGTTATGAATCTGCTGAATGAAGAAGAATTGCTCCGAAGATTAATTCAAAAACAGGGTTACGCGTTTTGTTGAAAAATATCGTCAATTGATGCAGGTGCACGAGAATAGCATTGGAAACAAAGTGGTTTTAAATACATTGGCATGATCAAAAGAACGACGACCGCTTCGTATCACTTTTTAAGTAAAGATCCTTCCAGAGGCACCGACGAGATTGGAACTCGTGATCTCCTGTTTACTAGACAGGCGCTTTAACCAACTGAGCCACGGCGCCGGCGAAATAAATCTATGTTATGAATCTGCTAAATGAATAGAATTGCACCGAAGATAATTCAAAACAAGGATTCTGTAATTCTGTTGAAAAAATATCGTAAATTTTTGCGTATTGCCCGAAAAGCAATGGAAATAAATTTGTTTTAAATACAATTGTATAATCAAACGAACGACGACCGCTTCGTATCACTTTTAAAAGTAAAGATCCTTCCAGAGGCACCGACGAGATTCGAACTCGTGATCTCCTGTTTATTAGACAGGCGCTTTAACCAACTGAGCCACGGCGCCAGCGAAATAAATCTCTGTCATGAATCTGCTGAATGAAGAGAATTGCTCCGAAGATTATTCAAAACAAGGATTCTGTAATTTTGTTTTAAAAATATCGTAATTTGATAGGAATTGCATGAATAGCATTGGAAAGAAAGTGGTTTTAAATACATTGGCATGATCAAAAGAACGACGACCGCATCGTATCACTTTTAAAGTAAAAACTGCTTCCAGAGGCACCGACGGAGATTCAGACTCGTGATCTCCTGTTTACTAGACAGGCGCTTTAACCAACTGAGCCACGGCGCCGGCGAAATAAATCTATTTTATGAATCTGCTGAATGAAGAGAATTGCACCGAAGATAATTCAAAACAAGGATTCCGTAATTTTGTTAAAAAAATATCTTTAATTGTTGCGAATTGCACGAATAGCATTGGAAACAAATTGGTTTTAAATACATTCGCATGATCAAAAGAACGACGACCGCTTCGTATCACTTTTAAAGTAAAGATCCTTCCAGAGGCACCGACGAGATTCGAACTCGTGATCTCCTGTTTACTAGACAGGCGCTTTAACCAACTAAGCCACGGCGCCTGCGAAATATATGGATGTTGTGAATATGATAAACAAAGAGAATTACTCCTAAAATAATTCAAATGAAGGATTTTGAAATTTTCTTGGAAAAATGTCGTAAGTTGTTGCGTATTGCCGGAAAAGCAAAGAAATAAATTTTTTTAAAAAATTACATAATTAAACGAATAACGAACTGCTTCGTGTATCACTTTTAAAGTAAAAGATCCTTCCATGGGCACCGAAGAGATTTGAACTCGTGATCTCCTGATTACTGAACGGGCGCTTTAACCAACTAAGCCACGGCGCCGGCAGCTTCGTGGATATTTGTGAAGCTGATAAATAAAGAGAATTATTCCGAAAATAATTCAAATGAAGGTTTTTGAAATTTTCTCGAAAATGTCGTAAGTTGTTGCGTATTGCTCGAAAAACAATGGAAATAAATTTGTTTTAAATACAATTGTATAATTAAATGAACGATATAAATCCCGCTTCGTATTACTTTTACAAATAAAGATCCTTCCATAGGCACCGACGAGATTCGAACTCGTGATCTCCTGTTTACTAGACAGGCGCTTTAACCAACTGAGCCACGGCGCCGGCGAAATAGGTTTCACATGTTATGAATCTCTGCTGAATGAAGAGTAATGCACCGAAGTTAATTCAAACCAGGATTCCCGTAATTTTTGTTAAGAAAAATATCGTCAATTGTTGCGAATTGCACGAATAGCGTGGAAACAGTGGTTTTAAATACATTGGCATGATCAAAGAACGACGACCGCTTCGTATCACTTTTAAAAGTAAAGATCCTTCCAGAGGCACCGACGAGATTCGAACTCGTGATCTCCTGTTTACTAGACATGCGCTTTAACCAACTGAGCCACGGCGTCGGCGAAATAAATCTATGCTTTGAATCTGCTGAATGAAGAGAATTGCTCCGAAGATAATTCAAAACAAGGATTTTGTAATTTGTTGAAAAATATCGTCAATTGTTGCGAATTGCACGAATAGCATTGGAAACAAAGTGGTTTTAAATACATTGGCATGATCAAAAGAACGACGACCGCTTCGTATCACTTTTAAAAGTAAAGATCCTTCCAGAGGCACCGACGAGATTCGAACTCGTGATCTCCTGTTTACTAGACAGGCGCTTTAACCAACTGTGATGTGGATGACACCTGAGCTGACACCCCCTCTCCTAACTACCACACCACACCAACGGGGACGTTTCGGCTCTCGACAGATTTAACTTGCATCGCTGCCCTACACGGCGGGTCTTTATTGGTATTGGATTTGAACTCGTGACAATGCCAGCCACGGTCCTATACCTATACCACTCGGCTATCGCATCCACATGAGCAAACGAACCACGATAGATTCGTATCACCTTACAAAATTAAAACTCTTTAGTGAGTCATCGATGAGATACGAACTCGCAATTTTTTTTTTACTAGTCAGGTTGTGACGGCTCACGCGTCCTTTCTGTAACATAACCTCTGGGTTCTTTGACGGCCAAGATTAATGGCAAATCTTTTCCAACCTAAATCCAAGAAGTGAAATGAAAGTATAGATGCAAATAAGATAGCTTTTAAAAGGACAGAAGTTTTAGTAAGCGGGATGGCAATTTAGAGAAAGTTCTGTTAGGAAAAGGTAGAAGTGTAATTTGACGGCTTATCAAGGAATCACGGATATCTAGCCATTACTACAAGGTGCATACTATTGCACGCGAGCCCAACAGCCTATCTGAAGGTGTTTGAACCGTTGCGTGGAATTCAAGGTAGGAAGATTATTTTCCGAATTCGTAATATTATTAGGATTGAGAGTAGGCGGATAATATAATTATTTAGATAAATGATCCAATTGCGCGATCTGTTTTAGTTACGGCTAAGTGTTTTGGTTTATTCTCACTTAATATAAGTTTGTTCAATATATAAGTAATTTAAGTTAAACTCTTAATAAAGTCATATTAAGAATTCTAAAATGTCTCTTCATTTCGAGAATTCCACACCTCTATATTCCGTTTCACCTTAAGTTGGCAGCACTGGGAAGGGTACGCGGACCAAATCACAGCCACTACAGGGTTACTCTAGGAGAAGAGTGTGACTATAACAAATAAAATTCTCCATATTTGGCGAGCAAAAAAATTACTCTTGAAAAATTTGTTCATTAAAATTGTATGATTTTTTTTTTTTGATAATAGTATAAGCCCCTTCTTTAATCGAAATATTTAAGAGTTTATGCTTCAATATGTTTAAAAATATTGATTAATTAACTAGCAAAACTTTTCTCGAATAAAATCTCAATAGTTCCCAAGATGTTGATTGCATTTTTTTAAATGAAAAAATACGGTTAAATTGTAATTCACATGCTATCATTACATTGATTTTTTTAAGTGACTTATATGCTATTTTCAAAATAAACGGCTCATATATCTTTAGTTTCATAATTTCATTTATTACATTTGTTTATAAAATAAAAATTTCTATAACTGGTTTTTATAAAAAAAATTTAAAATCATCTTTTTCCCTTAAATTATTACTGTTTTAAACCCAGTTTGTAATTATTATTCATATTAAGGTAAAAATGCCTTTTTGGTACTTTAAATTTAAGATATAAGAAGAAATTAACAAATTTGGGGATTAATTTAAAAAATTTATAAAATTTTAAAACTTATAATCTTTTTAAAAATTTATAGTTTATCGGGAAAAAAAAATATCTCGATGCATATTTAAAAAATTATGTTATTAACATTTTAATATTAAAAGTTTATATTTCAGCTCAATAAGTATAATTTTTTAAAAAAAAAAAAAAGATTTATTAAAATTAATTTTAAATAAAAAATTATATATTTTGATATTTAGAACTTTTTTTGTTGTAAAAATGTTTAAAATTTAAAAAACAAAAAAATTAAGATAGGCACGAGTTTTAAAAAAATATGAAATTTTTTAAAAGTTTGAGAAGCAACTGTTTTAAGAGCAACAAAATGTAAATTTTTTTTAAATTACCCAAATTGTTTTAAAAAATATGTCATAACATGTAAATATTAAGTTGGTTTTCAACAGGGTGAAATAACAAATATAAAAAATTCCTCGAGGAAAAAAAAGGAAAAAGGAAAAAATTTTTTGCTACGGTTTCTTATTACACTTTTTAACAGTCTTTACCCAAATTTAAAAAAAAAAGGCCTTATTAATTGCTTTTTTTTTTTTCATAATTCTTTTTTTTTCGTCATTATGTTCATTTTAATTATTAATATATTCATAGATACTAGTTATATTTACTAATATTTTTTAAAAGATTTTTAAAAAAGAAATTAAGAACGAAAAAAATTTTTAAAAGGGAAAAATTATCTTTGAATATCGGACTTAATTTAAATGCATTTAAGGGAATTACAAATTTTTAACCCTTTATCCATTAAGTTTTTCCCGAAAAAAATTTAAAGAAATGTTTAATTTTCATCAAAAAAAAAAAAAAAAGAGTTTATAAAAAAAATTTAACTTGCAGAAAAATTTTAAAAAAATACCAATGAGCAAAAAAGATTAAACTTTCAGATAGTTCGGGTTAATAACGGGGAATATATTGTTAGCCCCATATAAGAACAATTAAAAAAAGTCAAGATTTCTTATTCCATATTTAATTTCATCTATTTTAGAGCTAATCAAATATTATTATGAAAGAAACTTTAAAAAAATTTTTTGAACCTTAAAAATATGTTTTTTTTGGAATATTTTCTTTTTTAAAAAATTTTCTTCATTAGATAATGACTAGATTTTTTGGAAATTTTGAAGCCTTACCCCCCCTTTTTTTCCTGAATATGTTATTGACCCCGTTTATTTCAACTTTTTTTGTTTTACAGAAAAAAAGTATCCTAGAAAAAAGGACTTTTTTTTAAAAAAGCGTGGGGAATCCTGTTATAATTGTAGATAATTGATATTTCCACTTTTAAAAAACTCAAAAATTTTGAAATAAATCAAAGAATACTTGAAATTTTTGGTATTTTAAATAGGGTATTACGAAAAAAAAGATTTTAAATAAAAATTACAAATAAAAAAATATTTTAATTGTAATTTTTTTATACATTGTAAAATGATTTTTTTATGGAAATTAATCATTCTCTGGGGGTGAAAACCCTTTTTACGAGAGGGTGGGGACCCATTGAAAAGCCCCAAAAACAAAGATTATTTTAAAAAAATTTTTAATTTACTGAAAGTAAAAAAAATAAAAAAAACAATCTGACATAAAAAAAAATTAAATACACATTTACACCGATATAAAAACTTAAAAAATATACGTACTGCGCAATGTATTTTATGAAAAAAATTTGACGGGTTTTTAAATAAAGAAAAAAAGTTTATTAATTACCAATGTCCAATGTCCCCCAATATTCCTTTTTTGGGCTTTCTATATAAACACTTATCTTGATAATTTGTACGGTTTATCATTAATCCCTCAAATGCCATTAAAAAATTATGCGATTTTTTTCCCAAAGCCATTTGTTTTAAACACATAGGGGAGCGTATTTGGTGTATTGGGGGAGGGGGGGGTGTGTTGGGGGAGAGAGAGAGAAAAGGAATACATAAAACAAAAACTTCTTAAATGTTTTAATCCTTTCCGGGAAACACTGTCTTTATGCCAAAGCCATCGAAATAATTTTTTTGGGTGCAGTTCACAAAAAATATCGGGTTCGGAAAAATGCGTATATATGTCCCGGGGGAAAATTTAAAGCTTTGGCTGGGGAAAAGTTTATATACGCCTATGGAATTTTAAAAGGTTAAAGTCTTATTGTAGGTTTAGCACCAAAGTGTAGTACTATTTAATCCAATTCATTGTTATTGTTTGGAGGAAAGGGGGGCGCGATGAAAATTATGATTAGATATTGGGCCCCAAAATTGAAAAGTTTGGGAAAAAAATGACATAAGCGTTAAAAAAGCCCCCGAAAATTGCAGCTAATATCAGAGAGAAAGAAAGGGAGAGGACAGGCAAATTCCTCTGATATTTGGAAATTAAAATGGTAACATCGAAAATAATTTGAAATATGGCATAATCAATGAAGTAAATTACTACATAACATTAAACCATTTTTTATATCAGTTTTACCAATGTCCGGGTTTTTCCATATGTGTCAACTTTCTTTTTTTCTTTTTCATCAAAAGACAGTTTATACAAGATACCTCTTAACTTTTTAAAAAGGGTTTTAAAAGGGTGTTTGTTTCCCCTGAAAATTCGCTTCCCCTTCGTCGCAATTTATTATTTTTTTGCTATGAAAAAATTTAAAGTTTATTCGTTATAAATCTGGTTTTAATCCTTCCCAGTCCATTGTTTTCTTCCGGCTAATAACATTCTTGTGTTTAATGAATTCATCCCGGGCTTTTTTTCCGAAAAGAACACACAAAAGGCATATTTTGGAACTATTTCGTCTTCCTTCGCCAAATAAAATTTCATTACCTCACTAATATTCTGGTGAAATATCAAACCTTTCTAACTTGTGGTTTTAAAGTTAGAGTGTTTTGAAATTACAACTTTCATTATAATCACCTAATATATTTCCCAAAATAAACTGCAATATCATCTAAACATGCGCTTAGCTAAATGAAAATTACGAGAGGAGCAAGGGGAAAAATAAAAGCAAATTATTAAATTTTCACGCATATCTGACGAGATGATACTCAGTTTCTTAAAATAAAACTCAGCGCCTGGTTTTATCCTATATCCCATCAACGATGGATTTCAGCATAAGAACTATTGAAAGAGCGTGGAATATGCTTTGAAGGTATCAACAAGCTGAATATGAACGTTTACCTTCTGAGGAACTCGAGTATATCATGTAGCTGTAGGCCCTTAATTTGTCAATGTGTTTTATTACCACTCATGTTGACCGGGATGTGAATGCAACTCATACCAGGCCAGATGGACTCAGGATCATTTGAGAATGCGGTGGACAGGCAGTGGATCACACAGATCTCACTGAAATACAGATTAACTGAATCATTCATCGAGACTTGTTGATGAAGACACTTGATGTCCAAAGTACTCTGCCATCAACAGATGGTGCAACTGTCAGCAGCCAAACCATCTGCAAAGGGAATGCATGAGAGGCATCTGCATGAGAAGTGTCTGCGTGCTATTACTCTCACGTGCTGAGAGTCACTACGTCGCGACCCGCAAGTTGTGACGGATCTATTCGCGTACCTTCCACT